GGATGATGGATGGGTGGATGATGGATGAGTGGATGAATGATGAATGGGTGGATGAAAGATGCATGATGGATGATTGGTGGATGAATGATGGATATATGGATGGATGGATGATGGATGAATGGATGGATGATGGATGTATAGATGGAAGGTGGATGAATGATGATGGATGGATAATTGTTGAATGATGGATCTGTGGATGTTGGATGGGTGTATGGATGTTGTATGTTGGATGAATGGATGTTAGATGGATGATGGACAGAGAATGGATGGATAAATTATGTATGTATGGATATATAGATGATGGATGTATGGATGATGGATGTATGGATGATGGACGTATGGATGATGAATGGATGGATGGATGATTGATGGATGTACTGATGCATGATGGATGGATGGATGGATGGATGGATGGATTCATAATGGATGATGGATGGATAGATGATGGATGGATGATTGATGGAAGGATGATTGATGGTTGAATGGATGATTGATGGTTGTATGGATGATTGATTGATGGATGGATGATGTATGTATGTATGGATGAATGTATGGATGATGGATGAATGATGATGGATGGATAGATAATTGTTGAATGATGGATCTGTGGATGATGGATGGTTGTATGGATGTTGTATGTTTGACGGATAGATGTTAGATGGATGATGTATGGATGATGGATGATAGATTATGTATGTATGGATGTATAGATGATGGCTGTATGGATGATGGATGGATGTATGGATGATTGATGGATGTTTGGATGCATGATGGATGGATGGATGCATGGATGATGGATGATTGGTGGATGATGGATGGATGATTGATGGATGGATGGATGATTGATGGACAGATGCATGACGGATGGATGGATGGTTGTATGGATGATTGATGGATGGATGATTGATGGATGGATGATGGATTGTTGTATGGATGATTGATGGATGGATGATGGATGGATGGATGGTTGTATGGATGATGAATGGATGGATGGATGATTGATGGATAGATGATGGATGCATGGTTGTATGGGTGATGGATGGATCTGTTCTGGTTCTAAATGAACCAGATCTGTCAGTTGGTGATGACTCGTTGTGTGAGATGATTGGCTGAAAGCAAAGGCTGTAAGTGCTCAGCCAATCAGAGACAACCAAAACTGAAACCTCGCCCACAAAGTTCCTGTAAAGCCGGGGCTTCAAACTCACAATAGGGGGTCAAAATTAAAAACTTGGTTCAAACTAAGGGCCAATTTCAAAAACTATATAAACTCAAACCAGATACACAACATCATCTCTTGGTCACATGTTCCTCAACAAGAGTTTGATTGGTCTCATTTGACGTACTCTGTTGAGCTTTCTACAAAGTATATCATAATCAAAGATTACTGAAAAAAAAATTCGTTATAAAAGTATTTTACTTTTAACATAGCAGGCCCCGGCCTTGAGTTGGACACGTGTGAGTCTAATGGGATTAGAACATCATTCTTAAAAAGCACAGATTTCCTCCAAATCAGACCAGCTTTAAAAAGCCAAAGTGTAACAAGATATTTGTGGCACTTCTTGAAGGTTCTTGGTACCTAATCGCTCCTCCTCCGTGAAGCCCATGATCTCCATTGCCTCCAGAGTTTCAACAAAGAGCTCATCATCCTCCTGACCCGGGATCTCCACGTGACCCGCCATGAGGAACCGGTACCTGCTGAAGTCCTCCAGGAGCAGCTCGTCTGCAGAAACAAACACAAATGAGTCTTCCTCCTCCTCCTCCTCCTCCTCCTCCTCCTCCTCCAGGAGCAAACAAATATACAGAATATTAAAATGTTTGTTTTGGTAAAAGATCCGAACATTTTGTGGTTTGTACTGTTGACAAAAAGCCTCATCTGAGTGTGTAGTCACTGACTTCACACAATTGTGTGTGTCTCGCTGTGTGCGTCTCCCCTTGGATTGTACCGATGAGCTAAAGGCTAGTCAAGAATGGACCCACTATCCAAGCACATTTACTATAATTTAATAAAATTACAGCTGATTAAGCAGAAGTTATTTTAGGAATCATAGTTATCATTGCTACATTATACGGTTATCCTCATTTCAATTCAGTTCAGTTTATTTCTATTGCTCCAAATCACAAGCCAAGTCGTCTCAGGGCACTGAGACCAGCTAGGGTTTTACCCCAACCGGTTGTTGGCCTTAAAGGCTTGGTTTTAGCCTGGTTCAAGTCTTATTTAGTTTGCAGGTCCTTTTCTGTTTCCATGGAAGAATACTCTTCTTCCTTGGCTCCTTTTCATTGTGGTGTACCTCAAGGGTCCATTTTGAGACCTTTTCTGTTTATACTTGCTGCCTTTGGGATCAATGTTTAGAAATCCCAATATTTAATTTCATTGCTACGCTGATGACATCCAAATATTTTCCCGTTAAATCAGATGTCTCTGTCCCACTGCAATCTCTGTTTAACTGTCTAAAGGATGTTAAAGGCTGGTTAAATGAGAACTGCCTGACCCTGAACGAAAACAAGACAGAATTTTTATTTGAAAACTGTACGCCTCTCAGTGGGCTTCCTGATAAGTCACGGCCCTCTTGCTCCTCGTTGTTCCTCTGCACTCAAGAATCTTGGAGTGCTTTCAGAAAGTTATTTTAAACTTGAGAAGCTGTTAAAGCCTGTTTTTTATCAGTTATGGCTAATAACCAAAGCATTACATTCCTCCTAAAGACCTTACAACTTCCATCCATGCCCTCATCACCAGCAGAATGGACACTTACACTTACAATGGACAAGTTACATTAATTATAATTCTCCGTCACCACAACAGATTTTCGTCGTCTGTAAAAATAAAAGGGGAAAAACGTGTTTTCTACAATCCTGATTTGGGCGGGACAGTCCTAGATTTTGCTCCCATCCTGTTCTTTTAATTCACTGATTCAGGTATCAACCATCATTTATTGGGGTGAAAATATTTGCTTAGCTTTGATTAGTGTGTGTGTGTGCGTGCGCACACAGTGAATAATTTAAAAGTCCAAAGGTTTACAGTAAAAGTACATTAATGTTTACTTGTTGTGGACATCATTAGTGGACAAATGGTGGACTCATGGTTTGTAGGCACAGAAGTGGTGTTTATAGGGAAGCTTGTAGTTTCTATTTGTTTGTGCTCTATTTTATCGACCTGCTGTCAACAGATTTGTGATAAAAGTACAAAAAAAAAAAAAAAAACTAAATTGCTCGGAGTGCCGTCATCATCTTGCAGACATGTCTAACCTGCGGGGAGACTAAACTTCCTCTCCCAGGTGTGAGGTTAAATGCAGAGAACCAGTTTCACCATTGTTTGGGAACATACAATGATGACAACACACAGCACTTACGTAGAGAACACCACCGTGGGAGCACTTAGCCTGAGACAGTGAGACAGGCTGCGTTTGCTGATTTAGTTCTTATAGTTAAACATTATTAAAATTAAAGGAATAATATTTATGCCCCAGATTATAGCAAAGATGTGTTTCTCAGTTGAACTTAAATCCCCCCCTCCAAAACTCACAAAGTTCTCTCTGAGTCAGTTTCAGGTGCTTCTGTCAAGGTCTGGGGTGGAGGTTGAACCCAGATGCAGGCAGGACTCAAAGACTCAGAGGATGAATAACTAAGTACAAAAAAAAGAGCTGTCGTGGCAGCAAAACTCACTTTTTCCAGGGAACAAGCAGAGAACACGAGGAGCCAGACGAAACATCACCAAACAATGACCAGTTGACAAGGAGTGAAGAACGCAGACTTCAATACACACTCACTAACACAACCCCTACAGTTTCTAGTTTGTCATAAATACTCGTTTCTATATGGTGTTTGAAGAACAACAAGGTGTTGTGTCTGTCTGGACAAGCTAAACTTGATTACCATTAGAATCATACTGAGAGCTAACTGTACTAAACCAGCCACCAGGGAGCACAAGCCAGTGTCTTTCTGGTTCTGGTCCCAAGCCCGGGTAAATGGTGAGGGTTGTGTCGGGAAGAGCGTCCGATGAAAAACACTTTTGCCAAAACTATAATGTGAGTTAATCTAAGCAGCACCACTACGTCTCTCTTTTGGCCTGGGAACACCTTGGAGTCCTCCCAGAAGAGCTGGAAGAGGTGGCTGTGGAAAGAGATGTCTGGACCTCTCTGCTCAAGATGCTGCCCCACGAGACCCGACTTTGGCTCAAATGGAAGATAATGGATGGATGAATGATGGATGGATGGATGGCTGATGGATGGGTGGATGATGGATGAATGGATGGATGATGGATGGGTGGATGATGGATGGATGGATGGATGGATGGATAAGCTAAATACACTCTTTCTCTCTCACCCCTCATCTTGTCCTTGGCTCCGGCCACCATGTAGTAGAAGATGTGGAAGGCTCTCTCTGTGTTGGCCTGACGGATGCAGCGCGACTTCTCCAGCAGGTCTGAGCAGTTTGGGTGAAGGTACAGCAGACAAATCAGCTGTTTCATTAACATCATGTCAGATCAGCTGATTCAGATAAGCAGAAAAGGATACAGGTGTCGATGTTGGCTCCGACGAGGAAACCCGTCACGTCAAAGTTGAGTTTGATGAATTTCCCCTGTGGAGGACAGCAGCTCTGTGACTCATCATCTAAACATCTCCAGTGCAGCTGAGTTTGAGCTCAGGTTGATGAAAACACGTACAAATCGTGAGGAGTTGTCGTTCTTGATGGTCTTAGCGTTGCCGAAAGCCTCCAGGATGGGGTTCGCCTGCAGCAGCTGCTTTTCCAGTTCTCCCTGCAGACAGAAACACGTCCAGCTGAGTCTGACTGCTGCCGTTAACTTCATTATGACGTCACAGACACGATAAACAATCCTGTGATTCAAACGAAACCTCAGGGTTTTTACTTACGTAGGCCAGAGATCCCGCCTGCTGCTGCAAGTCAGAAAAGAACAACACCATTATTATCTCTGCAGGCTTTTTATTCAAAGAACAAAAGTGTTTCATTCAGTTTCCCCTCGTGGATGCTCAAGATGCAGCCAAGCAGCAGAGGTCAAAGGTCAAACACAAGAAACCCTCAGCTGAACCAAAAGCAGCTTGAATCAGCGTTGTGGGGGTTTATACAATGAAAACTAAAAAGCGTTGATCTCATTGTTCTGAAAAAAAACAGAACCTTCAACCCAAACAGCTTGAGCCTGTCCTCACCACATCTGCAGACACCAAATTCTGTTGTTTACAATAAATGTTATACTTTAATATTTCTAACACAACAAAGAGGAAGTGGCATAAAGTACTTTAGTTTCAGACAGTGTGGGGTTTGTGTTCAATCTTCCTGGTTTTGTGGAACGTTTGTCCATAAAACACAAAGTTTGTTTTCTCAGTCATCCAGGTATATAACAACAAAAAAGGTTGAATCATGTCATCTGGACTTCGTTTTTTTGTTAAAAAAGAAACGTTTCGCCCCTCATCCAAGAGGCTTCGTCAGTCTGAGGCCTAGCCATCTGGTATTAATAATTTATTAATAATATATAATATTTAATAACATATAACATATAATTTAATGTAATATTTTCGTAGGAACTGAAGAGAGCCTCAAGTTCAACAAAGTGCAGGAGATATGTAACTTT